GCCTGTGTAGCTGCCTGATTCCACGAGTGGCTTCTCTAAGAAAGGAACAAGAAGATATTTAGCTTTGAATCCAGAAGACTTCAAGCTGTAGAAGCCACAGTTGTGCAGCTGGTAATTGCCACCACCCACGGGAGCCTGAGAAGATGCCATTCTTTTATCTAATTACTACAGAGCCTTTCAATCTGATTAATTCTTTCCTTGATGCATTTCCTTGTTGTTTCTATTTGTGAGGATGCTAAGGGCAAATTAGAGAATCTTTCCTGTGGAAAATACATTCTGCACTCTCCACAGGCCTGGTGTCTGTTAGCATCTGTGCATTCCTCATCACCTATCAGGAGATGCTTTAAAAGCCAGGCTCTGATCTAGTTCTTTCTTTCAGACCAGAGGTGTTGCTTGGAGCAGAACTAACAAATACCTGTATCATAACAAAAGCATTCTCCACTTCTTTGTGCTGCAATGGCTTGGGTGAGAATAGCCTAAAACACGTTTGCTACCTGTGCACATTGCTCTAGCCAGAGAAGTGAGACCCCAAAGAGGCCAAGGGCACCACACACCTCCTGCAGCGATGGAAAAGCTTGGCCTGATGAGGCAAGTGAGATCTTTTACCATGTTTTGAGCATTGATGCTGTGTCACCATCTTATGGGACAGTACAAGGGCCTCAGATGAGTCTTGGTGGTGCAGGGAGGGAAATAACACAAAATCTGTTTCTCCTTAAAAGCAGCAATCCTAGCACTGGCAAAGAAAGAGATATTTAATGTGAAGGCAGAATTAGCCTGTTAACTATCACAATATTATAGCCTGTTATCTATCATTGTCCATGCTGCAGTTTGGCTCAAAGAGGGAAGGCTGTTCCCACTGGGAACACAGTTTGCAAGATACTCTAACTTCATAGCTGGGCATCACCTCAAACTAAAGATGGGAGCATAAGGAGGGGGTAATGGCCTCTGTGTACACCTGGATCCCGTGGCATAAAGCAGAGGTGATGTGCACACAGAAATGACAATTCCCACCAGAGCCAAAGGGGTAGCATCAGAAAAACTGTTCAGAGAGAATCTCTTGGTGGAGGGCAGGAGGACAGAAAGTGGAAAGTGGGAGTCATGGTCATGTCTTCTCACTGGGTCCAGGGCCCAGCTCTGTGGAGAGAGGGCAGGACAAGTGCTCTGATGAAGCAGAGTGGTGGCTATTCCCGCAAGTTCCCTCCTTCCCAGAACCCTGCCTGCACTTTGCTTGTTGGTGCTCTCCCCAAACCAAGGCTTTTGGGAATAACTGCAAGTCCATCTTTTGCTGCAGAAAGCAATAAATCCACATTCTGGCTCTTGGACTGGTTCCCAGAGTTTAGAGACTTTTTTTACCAGAGCCTTGCTATTTATTAGAAAGTTCTCCCAGGGTCTCTTTCCTTCTCTTCTTTTTTGGCAGTAGATTTTAGCATTAAATTAATCGAGTTCATTTGTCTCAGTTCGATGATAAGTAACAAGATGCTGATTTTTAAGAGTGAGATGCTGGAGAGGGAGACGTTGCCCTCTAGTGACTTAAAGGCAGGCAGCGTATATGGACAAACCACGAGTTCTGTTAAGGTAGCAGTAGAGCGACACATTTCAAATGGAAGTTTCTGACAGATGGAGGCACAACGGCATTTGTGGTGAGGGCTGAAAATGCCCCACAGCTGTAAGGTGGCCCTTAGCACCCACCATGAGCCATCTCAGCATCCCTCGTCCCAGTTAAGGCTCCGTTAAGGCTCTGGCACATAGCAGGACAGCAGGGGTCACACACCCCCCTCCTGCCCAGCCAGAGCTAGCAACAAGCTACCTTGAACAAGCTACTTCTCAAGTACCTCCAATACCCCTCAGTTAGTGTTCAGGATGAGTGCCATCACTTTGTGCAAAACACTCATTGACCCCATGTCTCAGCACATATACGCTGTTTAATTTATCCCTCTTTTGCTTATGTGAATGCTTTGGGAATGTCTATTGTTTTTAAGTGCTGTGCTTCACATAGAATTGTAGAATGGTTTGGATTGGAAAGGACCTTAAAATCATCCAGTTCCAACCCCCTGCCATGAGCAGGAACACCTCACACTGGACCAGGTCACTCAAGGCTCTGTCCAGCCTGGCCTTGAACACTATCAGGGATGGAGCATTCACCACTTCTCCTGGCAACCCATTCCAGTGCCTCACCACCCTCCTTACATCTTACATGCAAGAAAGACAGTTCCATTTTGGCCACTGTTTGCCCCTTCTTGTTTTAAAGGCAATCATTCAGTTAAGGAGAGAAAGCAAAACTGAGAGTTAAACAAAAAGTCACAGCCAGCTCTAATGAAGTTATGAAAGTCAAGAATTCTCCTTCTTTCCCTGATAGTGCCTTTGGGAGTCCGCAAATACAATGAAAGTAATCAAAAAGAGGGGGAGAACGAATGAGCATCACATCCCTTCCAGATGCTCTGAACAAATATAAAACTTCTGATTAAATTTAATGTACTTCACATAAGTCTGTATTTGTCAAGATGCTCGCTTTCTTTTAGAGGAAAATTGGAAAACATGAAACATGAAACTTATTCTGTAGCTGAAACACAATGCGGTATCCTTTCCTGGAGGAAAACCTTGGGGTAAGGGCAGGATGTTGCAATCAGGCTGGATGTACAAGTGAAAAGCTATTTGCAGGAAGTTTGTGGTGATAAGAAATGCAACAAGTACATTTGGCAAGTTGTTTTTTTTATCAGAGACCTCCTGTACAACTTTCCCATCACTGCAAGAAACTACCTCACAAAAAATTCCCACACACCCAACCAGACCCGCCCTAGATGATATAAGATAGTATGTAGTGTACCTCAGACCTATCTCTGATATAGGAGTGTTCAACTGCTTCAATGAATGTATTGGTTCTTTGTTCAAAGCCTTTCCCTTCACTCCTTGCTAGTGGCCAGCTGTGTCAGGTCTCACTGTTCTGGAGAAAAAGATGGAGATGATTCCTGTGCCTTTGTGGTCAGGTGTAACTTACCTTCCAGGGCAGATCTTTAGTTTTAGAATAGAATCATAGAATAGTTAGGGTTGGAAAAGACTTTAAGATCATCTAGTTCCAACCCCCCTGCCATGGGCAGGGACAAATATGTATGATCCCAATGTTATTTTCCATGGCAGTGTATGCTAGCTGATGCATTTGCCTGTGTATCAACAAGAGAGAGCAAAAAATGATCCATCATTCCGTGCTTACTTACTGGCTTTGCTGATTCATTCCTGGCTGTGAGAGGCTGCTGCCCTGGCAGAGCAGCGCCTTCCACCTCGTGACTCCACAGTAGGCAGTGCATGCCCACAATTTCACTTCATGGAAGGCTGTGAACCATGGCAACTGAGGACTCAAGATATGCAGCTGTAGCCAAGATATCACCACTGAAACACTACCCCCTGGCTACAAAGGGAGATAAGTTCATTAACAGCCATAACTAAATTCCGAACAGATGATGCGTCAGAGCAGTAAAACATCAAACTTAGGGTTAAGAGCTCTGATCATTTTCCACTGTCCTCTCAATCTGCTTTTGCCCTTCTCCAGCTTCAGAAGATAGCCTTTTGACCACAAGACAAAACCAAGGCAAAACAAGAGACACTACTTCACTGTCACAGCTGCTTGAATCTGCTCAGCAGATTGACATCTCTTTGTTCTTTACCAAAACAGCTCTGCTCACCTGAAACAGCAAGACCATGCTTTAAGGGACGGTGTCATCACAAACCCCCATTTAGAAATGACCCTGGAGAACAAAGGTTTAGCAAATGGAGTTACCAGTTCAAAACAGTTCCACACAATGTGGTTATCCACATAGAAAGATGACTTGGAGAGCATGCCCAGGTTCTGAGCAAAGAGGGTGCTGGTTTCATGGTAGGGTTAGGTCTGCACGCTGGGATCGGATAAAGGAGACCGGTAGAAGAACAACCATACAGTTGGGATGAGGAAGCAAATAGAATTGACTAGACTATTCCAGTTGGAAGGGACCTACAGTGATCAGCTAGTCAAGCTGCCTCACCAGTTCAGGGCTGACCAATTTAAAGCATGTTATTGAGAGCATTGTCCAAGTAACTTTTAAAGGCTGACAGGCTTGGGGCATCAACCACCTCTCCAGGAAGCCTGTTCAGTGCCTGACCACCCTCATGGGTTGTCTCTTCATACTTCCTAATGTGAAGTCTAAACCTCCCCTGGTGCAGCTTTGCCTCGTGTTCTCCTCACAGGACATGCCTTTCAGCCACCCCTCTCCCAGTTTGCACTTCTGCCCAGTGCTATTCCGTCCCAGCTGCAGGATCTGGCATTTGGATTTGTTAAATTTTGTCCCATTAAATGAACTTTAATTAACTTTATTAATCATTTTCCAATGCTCCAATCTATCTAGATGCCTCTGCAAGGCCTCTTGTCGCTCAAGAGGGTCAACAGCACCTCCTCCAAGTTTGGTATCATCAACAAACTTGCTAATGGTGCATTCAACTCTTGAATGCACATCATTGATGAATGCATTGAACAGCACTGGCCCTAGAACTGAGCCCTGAGGAATATCACTGGTCACTAGATGTGGAAGGATGGTTGCATGACAGAGGAAGACCTGCACTCCTTGGAGTGAGCAACCCAGTCTTTAGGGTGTAAGGGAAAAGGCCAGGGCCTAGCCCTGGCTCTTGACCTTTCTTGAACGCCTTTAGCTGAGAACAGTAAACAACTCTTGCAGAAGTGCCCCGGGGACTTTCCAGAAGTACATCTTGCTTGAGCAATGTAAGCAACCCTGTGGACAGCTTGCCATCACCAATCAGATGAGAGACCGTGGCGTGTGACAGCGGACGATCACCAGTCAGAAGAGAGACCGTGGCGCTTGACAGCGGGCTATCACCAGTCAGAAGAGAGACCGTGGTGTGTGACAGCAGGCGATCACCAATCAGAAGAGAGACCGTGGCGCGTGAACTAGACACATGTAGCTCTATTCAGTACAGACATTTGAGCTCTGCCTTTCAGCCATTTCTTCACCCAGCACACCATGAACCAGCTCATCCCACAGCTGGGCAACTTTGTCCAGAAGGATGCTGTGAGGGACAGCATCAAAAGCCTTACTAAAATCCAGGAAAACTCCATCCACTACCTTCCTTCCCCTCACCCACTAGGCAGGTGACCTTATTGTAGGATATCCAATCGGTTAAACAGGACTTTACCTTTGGGAACCCATGCTGACTGATGATTGCATTGCTCTTTAAAGGCACTTCAGTAATACCCAGCATAGTGTTTTCCACAATTTTTCCAGGAATTGAGATTACACTAACAGCTCTGCAGTTCCCTGCGTTCTTCCCTCACACACTGATTGTAGATAACACTGCCTAGCTTCCATTCAGCAGGGATCTCCCTATATTCCTAAGACCTTTGGTGGATGATCGAGAGGGATCCTGCTGTAACATCTCCTTCAGTTCTGGGGTGAATCCCATCAGGTCCCATGGATTCCCATGGACTTGTGAAGACACTCCCGCGTACAAAATCAATCCAGAAAGCAGAGGCTGTGCTAAAAATGCATGGCGAGACCACGATTTGACACAAGGGGGAGACGCTCTACCGTGGATGGTCAACTTAAAGCCCATCCACTGCAGCAGCTCGCTGGAGCATGGGCTGTAAACGCTCTCTCTGCACCCCCCTTGGGCAAAGGAGATTATGACTTACTTTCCTGTGCTGGTGTAAGAAAGAAAAGCCCAATTTGGTTTAGTTTTAGTGGTTTAATAGCGTTAAACCCAACATCCTTTATCTCATCCTAGAACTCTCTTCTTTTGAAACACTAAAAATGATTTTCTTTTAAACATCCAGAATATTAAAAGCACGAGGGGGTTGGAGTGAACAGCCTGTGAAAAACATCCTCCTTCTGTACGCCACCCCAAATAACATGGGTGCTAACAACTAAGGAAAGACCTCTCTTCTTCCAGCCTAATGGATGGAGCCAGGGGTGGGAGTGAAATCTGCTCTGGCAAAGCCCCCTGGTTGTGTGGCACTAAAACAGCTGGCAAAGGCAAACATGAAGAGAACATCTTTGAAGCAACTGGAAGACAAGTGGAAGTGGAGGAGAGAAAAACTAGGAGGAGGCAAAAAAAAACGCTGTTCCTCTTCTTGCCTCCCTTAAGCTATTCAACACTAGCAGCACGGTTATCTTCATACTGGAGCAGGATCCCATGGAACTGGAGACAAAGGCCTTGGAGAAAGCTTCCACCTTCAGTACACTTCAGAAATGTTCCTCTGCTCTTCTGCAGAGCTGGCCTGTGAGGTAAGCAGGGAACTAAACCCACTGTCCTTGTGAGAAAGGGGCAGGCAGCAATGCGCTAGGTTACACAGCCGGTAGGCAGCAGAGCTAGAGTTCTTGCACCATCTTTCTGCTTAGGTGCCACAAGACTTAAGAGACACAGAACAAGGCAGTAGCCTGCTCTGGCTGACACAGAAAGTTGGGCTTCACTGGCTGTGGCTTCCAGACAGACTGTCACTACCGAAAGCAAATTAGATCAGCTGGGCATCAAATGATACCTCCCTTCGGTTTTCACCACCCACTGCTGCCAACTTGACACTTCTCTTTCACGCTGCATGTGCCAACTGCCTTACAAAGCCAGCTGCAGCATCTACTGGAAGGACATGAAGAACAGCCACAGGTTGGGAGAGAAGGTGGGGGATCGGCTCACAGCTGGAGCAAGGAGACCTTTTCCAGCCTTAGTCCAGGCAAAAAACAGGGCTCTCCAAGAAGACTGAGAGCCTGCTAGCCACCACATCCAGGTCACTGGTGTTGGCATATTTGAGCAGATTGGTGTTCTTGAGAAAGTAATGCTTGAGGAAGTGCTGGCTTACACACTTGTGCAGCTTCTGTACCAGCCTCAGAAAGGCTTCAGGGAAGCAGCGCCAATCCTTGGTGCGTGGGTATTTTTCACACGTCCAGAATAGCACTGTCTGCAAGAAGCAGATGGGAGAGAAGAGGTGTTAGAGGTTCTGTCGAGGGCTCACACAGCTTACTAAGGCACTTTTAGTGCTAGTAAATGGCTGACAGCCTTGGAAATCAGAGAGACTCACATTGCTATCTTCCCCTGTTAACATTTCTGCGACACAGGGATCACAGCTAAAGCCTCCTCTGGGAATCAGGCAAAGCAGCTCTGATGTGCCTGGTTAGGATCTCTCCCAGAGGAGCCCTTCTCCATTGACTGGGCCAGGAGCCCGAGGAAAATAGTCTTCCTAAAATAATCTTAGCCTATTTGCCATCTTCCAGCAGTAACCTCTGTATAAATGCCAGGCCTGCTAGGCTGTAGAAAATAGCCCATTATACCAATGTAAAAGCCAGTCAGTGCAAGGAGGGAGAGAAAAACAACCAGATTAACATAATTATTTATCAGCTTCAGCCCTATTTGTGCTGAAGATGTGCACAGATCTGCATCCCAAACACACTGAGACTCCAATCAACTACAGCAGGTGCAGAGCATGCTTTCTGGTCAAGTGCAGCCTCATTTTTTCTGACCTATGATACTTGCAGCAAGTGCTATGCTCTATTCCTTCAAGTTTATGATGTGTAATTTTACATTTGAGAAATCCACAGTTCAAATAACAAAATGCATATGATGATTGCTCTTAGAGTATTATTTTTACACTGCCCACATTGCATTTTTCAGACTCTCCTGACTGAGAAGAATTTTCTCAAGGTACTTACTGTGCCAAAACAGTCATACTAACTGCCTTGGTCAACACCAAATCAGTCTGTAAAGTATAAAGTGGGTTCAATAACTCGGCTAAGTTCCTCACTGTCCTTTGAATCCCAATTTAATTTGGCAGATTCAATGACCTCAAGAGACCCATAGACATTATAAGATGTGGCCAAACTACACCCTTCAACTGTTTCTCTGTTTCTTCAGAGATAGAATCTGTTCAAAATAACCCACACTCTTCTGGATTGCCTGGGTTTGGTTTTTTCCTCCAACAGGCCTTGAAATAGTTGTATTGCTGAAAGATTTCTTTTCAGACACCTTATCCAGTGTGAACAATTTTGTGTTCACAGCTGCAATAACCACAAAGACTCTTTTTAAATGCTGCCAGGGAACAAAAGACATAGGCATTTGAGCTGGAACTCTGTGAAAGTTATTCCTTGGAGACTTGCAGAGCCTTTTGTCACACTAAAACTACTCCAGCATGATCCATGGACAGTAGTTACAATTAAGTTTCTGGAGGCAAGGAAAATAGTACTGATTTTCCAATCAGATGCCAAATCTATCCCCATCATGTACTGAACCATCCCTAAGTGCTGGCTGTCTACTGGAGGCACAGAGTTGTCTTTCAAAAGGCACCTAGGTCTTTTCAAACTTCCAAGCATTGAACTTCATTCCTATGGAGGTGAGCATAATGAGTGTGCTTATTCGGTCCGCTAAGGCTTTTGCAGCTTCTGGGGCAAGGATTTCCTCTGCCGTAGAGGGATTGTTTTGTATGGAGCCTTGTTTGGTCATGATTGGTGGATACCTCTGACAGGAGAAACCTGATAGTGTGAAGAAAGCTAACAGCCTCTGCTCAACTGCTGGTTTACCTACTGACTGTTTCTCTCTTGGTTTTATTTATTTATTAATATAAGTGATGTTGAAGCATTTCTTTTGTCTGGAAAACCAATCCTTTGCAGTAAAAGCCTGAAGTGCAGTTACAGTAAAGAACTGAAGAGCTTCTAAAGAGCTTTTTTATTTTGATTAAGAGTCCATACAACAGCACTTCCTGCACCTTTTCTCCCTCAGCCAGAGAAAGAAATTGTTACTAATGTTTAAATGGTTTTCCACTTCCTCCTTTTATCTGTGACAGCTTTCCCACCAGGTTGTTCTTACAAGCACCAAGAAGTTTCATGCTCTGCTAAGCTATAACCAGCCTTGCCAACTCCTTTTTTGAGTCCGTCTTGACTTACATTAGTCCCATGACTGCAATAGCATCTGATGGTTGCAAACTTTACTTTAGGAGAAATCTTAGTGGCGTATCAGTAATGTGGAATCCTGTTGGCTTGAGGCTTTAAGGTAGGAGAACAGCCTCTCCCTGGCAGCTCCAGGAGGATGGAGGCCCAGAAAACAAGACTGCTTTGCTGTCTGAGAAATAATGCTGCCTGTGGTCCATCAGTGTCTGCAGCTGTCAGATGTGGAGACACAGCCATAGCAGAGCCTTCTATCTCTTCTTTACAAATGTTGTTTGAAGCCACCTTGAACCCTGAAGTACGTGTGGGGAGGATGCTACCACCCCTTTACCTCTTTCTTCCTTTCCTACCCCAGGTGAAACAGCACCAGAATTGTAGCTTGCACCTCATTCATGAAATAATGCTCACCTAAGAGAGTTCTGTTTGCTGCATACCCACAAAGACAAATGCACAATTTTCCTCCAGGCAGATGGACAGGCATGGATGGCTGGGATAGTCAAGAAGCAGGAGGTAACCATGCACTTAAAGACAAAGTTACAATGCCTATGTGAAGTCAAAACAGAGCAGGGGCCTCAACTCTAATATTATTTATGTTGCCGCAGTCACAATGTTCCTACAGACTTGAGTTTCCTGTTGAAGTTTGAAACTTATGTTTACTGAACATCTTGCCACTGTAAAGCAATGAAATGATACTGCAGTTTTGACAGTTACCTTAGAAGTTACATAGACACTACAGTGATTTAGGATATGATATTTTGACATTACTGGATGGAAGCCACTGCAACAGATACTAAGACTGTATCTTGGTATCACGGTGATGCCTACCTGCAGGTGATAAGCTGTGATGACAGGCTTATTTCCAGCACACCAGACATCTTCCTTCATCTGCCTCATGACCCTGAAGCACTTCATGCGACAACCACCATCTTCATCAAGTCCTTCCATGAGCATACGCTCAGCACGGGAGAAGCACAGCTGCCAGTGGTAATTGGAGCGGGCCAAAAGGTCAAAACCAAATGACTGTGGATAAAAGGGGAAGCGTGGTACTAGATCAGAAGCAAACTTCTCTGAGCAGTGCAGAGGGATGTTATGAAAAGGATGTGTGACATCTCTCAAAGCTTATTCTAAGACAGGTTTAGCAAACACGAGTCAAGCTCCCACCCTAATTCTTAGTCGAACAAACATGCAATGTGTTTTCTTTCCTTGTGTGATATCAGTTGCTCTGAGGAGATCCAGCTCTAGAACCACCAGGTACAGTACTAGCGAGGCCACTAAAGCAGAGGCACAGCTCTGCTGGCACTTCGCCGTGGAACAGCAGGACATGCATGAGAAGGGAGCAGGACTAGAAGGTAAAATGGGAACTGCATGAACATGGCAATAGGGCTGAGCTGGAGTGCCAGAATCCAGCCATGAACACTGTAGGGAAAGATGGGATTAGGCTGGAGGGAAAACTGCGAGATAGCAGCTCATTTGCAGAAGGTTTACATGAGACAGAGCAGAGCAGCAAGAATGATGAATGTCAGCCCTGAGCTATGCAGGCAGAGCTGTGTACGAGAGACCCATCAGTTAACCCAGTTTTGTTCCCATAGAATTCACCACTCTAACAGGGGGAAAAGTCCCTGACAGAATACTTTGCAATGTCACTTCTCTAGAGAATACACCTTCCAACCATGCTGTTGCCCACCATCACCATGCAGTCCTTCATTTGGGAAAGCACCGTCACACACTTGTGAGGTATATTCTGGCACAGAGCTAATGGTGCTTTTTACACTGCTCACCTTGATGCACTGCACTTTTTCCTGGGAAGGCCAACGCTTAAGGCAACGAGGCCACCGGGCTTTCTCAGGCCAGCAAGTTGGAATCTCCACAGCAGGGACCAGCTCCACCTCAACCTGGGATTCTGAGGTCTCCACAGCCACTCGGACCCCTGAGCTGAAGCTCTCCAGCATTGTCACTTTACCTGTGAAGGAACAGCAAGAAAAGATACTAAAGATTAAAAGATCCTTTTCTACAAGCCAAGCAAAAGGCTGTCTAGGGCCTTGCAGTTCTATTGGTCTGTTTGAGCACTTTCTCTCCAATGCCATAAGCAGAACACAAGGAAAAACTTATTACCTAAATCTACCCATCTACCCTGGGGAACAAGAACAAGAAGATGAAGGAATGACAAAGTTCTCAGCTTTACACTCAGTAAAACCATACTTTATTTTCTGCTGAGGGTCCTCTTAAATCCTAGAACCAGCTTCTTAAAGATACAGATAAACAACTGGTGCAACCTAACATATCTAATGGTATGGTACAAGGAGATTACTGCAGATTAGAGGAGACCAGATGAACACTTCATATCTAAAGATGTCCTTATTCCCTCAGACAATCTGTAATCAGTCCCAATGACTTACCCTTGCTGGTCATTCAGAATGGTTTTTGGGCTATCTGTAAGTTTTGTTTCTGGAGATGCACTTGCCTAAAAGCCAAGAATTTGCCAGAATTTATGGCCCATTGTGCTGAGCAGTCATCAAAAAAGGGCTGCTTGCCTCACTGGGACTGCTGAGTGTCAAAAAGAGTTTGTTCCATGGTGGTACGGAGGAAAGAAGTTTCCTTGGTGAAAGTGGCTCATCTCCAGGAACATGCTCTAAAAGAGCAGAAAGGAATGAATGCTGCAACTAATGGATTTCTTAGTGAGATGTCTCCTCTTGGTCCAGCTGAGTTCATGGGAGAAGTTTCTGTCCCCAGCTTTCCCTGTCACTCTGGCAGGGTCACTGTTCCTTCAGCTTTGCCATCTGAGCCAGTTGTGTGATCGTGCTCTAACCCGCTGAAGTAAAAGTCAGAGCACATTTACTATAACCAGTTTAAATAGCAGCATGTTAACCCACCTCATTTTGACTGGCATGGGCTAAGGAGAAGAAGCATACACAACAGACTTGAAGGGACAGTGATAACCATTTGGGATGGCAACCTTTCTGCCCTCACAGAGGAGATACCTGCCTACTCCCAATAGCAATTTAGCATCTCACCCAGACAGCACAGGGTAAATTACCTTCTCAGCAGTGGAGTCCATCCCAACCAGAACTTCATTACCGACAGTAAAACCTGCATATTATTTCCCCACTGAGCCAAGCCTGGCACCAAAACACCCCTAGCAGCTTAAAGGGATTACAGCAACCACTGTGTCAGCATGTAAATATGTTCACAGCATTTCCAAAACCATTTCAATTGTGTTGCCTGTTTTTCCACTGATGAAAAGTGACACACCTCAAAAACTGGTTCTGCTGGTGCTCAAAGACTTAAAAACAGGGAAACAATGAAATCAGGGGAATCTTTTCTTTATCTTTTCCTGTACTATGCGATGGAGGAAATACATTTTTCACAGAAACAAATGAAAATGGTAATGACTTCTCCTGACTTCATCTTAGCCCATCTCCTTTCAGGTGGCCTTACAAAAAGAGGCATCAGAATCATCAGCCCAGACATCACTCACTGGGTCCCTTGGAAGTAACTCTTCTGGCTCCACAACTTGGTGTACTGCTGCTGAACACAATGTCAGGTTTTCACTTCAACACAATGACTTTCACACAAGTAGAGCCTCAGATGCAAGCCCATTCCACCTGGTCTTCCCTCTGAGCCTCAATTGTGACGTTTCATTCCCATCCACCTTTCTATTTCTATAAGAACAAGCATTCCCTGGAAGAATGCAGTGACCTAAGCTGAGATTGACTCGAACTTGTTTTCTTCCACGACTAAAATTCAGAGTTCAATCAGATTAGTGGTAATGGCTCCTATTTCTCTGGAATACAGAAGATCCATATTAGGCTGCTGATGGGTGAAGTCATCCTGGAAATGTGCTGTGAGCAGAGGCACCACAGTCTGGATTTGATCATGTCACAGTATCTTAATGCAAAAAGATGGACATAGACTATTTGGTTTGGACCAAGTCAAATGGTCATTAGCTGAAGTCTATAACATGCCTCTAGGGTGTTAAGAATTAAGCATGAGGATCACTGTTCAGGCAGCATCAGCTACAGATGTTGCAGCAATGAAGGCATGCTGCATGCACTGCTGATTGCATTATGCAGTTATCAACACTTCCACTGTAAATAGCCGGAGGAAATAAACAGGCACAAGATTGCTCGATATACACATACAAAATAAACAAGATTGCTCACAGAGGGATCAGCACCACTACTGAAAGCAAACTTCCCGAGTCCCGTTCTCCTGAACAGGACTGGATTAACTTGGACACTAAGGAAAATAGCGCTTGTTCAATAGATTTTGCTTAAGTAGAAATCCTTCTGCTTAGTTTCCACCACCCTATGCTGAAAGGCTATGGACAGTTAAGGTTTCCCCAGAGCACTGTCTGCCCTATGCACATCTTCAGACACTTTCTCCTCAGACTTATGCGTCTTCCCTATATCCAGTTTTCCTATACTAGCTTTCTTGATAGTCTAAATATATTGGAAGTGCTCTAGTAGAAAAAGATTTCTCCCAAACAAATTCCTTCATGTTCTGAAAATCTGGGCTGCATCGTGATTGAACTGTGAGGGTGATGTTGCTGGAGACCATACCCACATTCCTACGAAAGGAGCAACAACTTGGGTACAAAGAGTCCAAGAGTCGCTTAATTCTATCTTCAGTGTGGGTCTATATATACATCACTGCTCCCTTATTTTGCAAGGGTTTAATGTTTCTTGGCTTCTGATCATGTGAGCCAAACAAACACTGTGGGTGTGATTGTTTCCCTCTATCAAGTGCAGAAGACATCTAGTTCCCTTCATACCTGTCCCCACTAAACTCACTGGAGAGGTTACAGGAGGTAATCGACTTCTCCACCAGCTCCCGGAAGACGATAAGGACTTTGGCTGGAACCAGATCACCTTCGATGTTCACATCCTTTTCATGCCACTGCTGAAGGCTTTTGGAGAACTGCTCCACCTCCAGCCATTGATGCAGTTCCTCAGGGTCCCGCACGGAGGAGAGGAGCTTGGCTCCATGCACGGTGTAATAACGCCAGTGCCGTACCTGGCATTCCCTGTACCCAGTCAGGCCACGCAGAGGAACTGTGATGAGGAACTGGCTGGGTGCTAAGACCTAGGAGAGTGCAGAGACATTGAGAGAGGAGACAAGGGCAAATCCATAAGCCTGAAGAGGAAAGAGGCTTAAGGAAGTAATAGGTAAAACTGGGGCTTTGGAGAGATGGAAAAGCCATGGTATGATGGGAGCAGTTGAATATAGCCAGGACCTGTTCTGTGCCTGTCTGAGGGTTATTTGGAGGTACACAGACTGTAATGAAATTGTCTTAGGGGTCTGATGTGACAGCTATGGCCCATAAAAGATGAGAGTGCATTGATTTGTCACCACACCTGCCATGGTTTCCCCCATTCCTTGTTATTCCTAGTTTGCAGTTGCATGAGGTGTAATAACTAGCAGCTTCCAAGGGAATCATCAGAGAGCATTTTTGGAGATGCAGTAAAGGGAAACGAAATAGTGCAAATTACTGCCTCAGAACTGTTACTAGAGAAAAACCTAGATCTCAACAGCAACAATAACTATGGCAAGAAGTGCACTTTCTGATCTCTTTCAAAGTCCACTACAGGCATCAGAAAATAAGCATATGGACCATTCATTTTAGAAGTGTTTCCCTATGTATGGCTGTCCTTTAAGAGACAGAGATGTGAAGCAAGTGACACACCTGAGCCTATGCAGGCAATGGCACTCAGAAATAAACGCAGGTCTCAGCCAGCTACAGTATGAAACAATCTCCTGGTGAGTGGCAGACACAAACAGTGAAAGAAAGGAAATGGTAACCAAAGGAAAACCCTCAGATAGGCTTGTTTGCAAGCCAGTTGACTGACCTCACTTTGGGAATCACCATTTCCCAGTGAAAACAGTGCTGAAGCAGTATTTGCAAAGAGTGAATAAGGCGACACAAACACCATGAACCCTCACACTGACCCAGGACTCAGCCAAGCATCTCCAAACACTAGTTTGGAGCCGTCTGACAACTGTGGCTCCAGAGAGGGTGTCCAAACTCCTTCAGATTTTTACCGTGTTGACTCTGAAGCTTTTCACCTCCACTTGCTACCAAGCGTAACTTACACTGACATTAATAAAGTGAAGCTGCTGCATAAGCAGGATGCGAAGTGACAGTTGTTGCTGCGAGGTGGGTACACCAGAGGTGAACAAACACTTTGTCACTCTTCTGTAATAAACCAAAGCATTCTGGTGGCTCAGTTGAGTTAAAATATTACCACAGAGGTACCAGTGCCATTACTTGAGGGCACTAACGGGTTTTAGTGACCCTAAGTAGCATTTCTGAGACTTCTACTCACACCTTCTGCCCCTGAGCCTGGGACCCTCATTTCAGCTCAGCCCCAGGCTATGTCATAGGAGTGCTGGTCTCCAGCTGTGTGACAGCTATGCCTGTCATAGCCTGGCCAAGTTGTTGTCGTACCTGCAGCTGCCTTCCCAGCTTGAAGGGAAGGTAGGTCTGAAGCCTCAGACCTACTTGGCTGCTCTGGATTTGCCTGTTGGTCAATAGACTGCATCTGACCCTGGTTACCACCACTGGCCTTGATCCTGACTCCGATGAGTGCTCCTGGCCTGATCTGACCTCTGACCTGCCTTATCAGCACAGATCTGCTTGACAATCTGTGCTCTTGGCTCACCCCAGCTACCCTCTCTAGTTCTGCCTTGATTGAGGACCATGGTGTTAGGTGCTTCCATATTATCATGCTCACCTCCTGGCTCCCTTGCCCACAGGGAGTAGCTGGTTTTCTTTGCTCCTTAGCAGTGGATTGAACATACAAAAGATGGCCAGCAAGAAGCACAGAAACGGCAAAGGAAACACGAGAAAGCCCTTCTTTTGTCAAGCGTGAACCACCTAAAGGCAGGATGGTACCGGGAGAATGACACTGTGGACCAGGCTGACATGCACAAGTAGGTTTGGTGGGGCTGAGAAATCCATGTGAGCAGCTCAGGAACAAAGTGCTAGGCTCCATAAGGGAAAAATAGAGTGTCTGTCATACACCTGATGCTCATCTCACTGCACTATTCCTTCTCACACCAACACGCTGCCTTGTATGCACTGGCACCCAACAGATTTTAAAGGGAAGAGTTGCAGGTGTTCTGTGAGTCACAAGGCTCCTCCACATGGGGCTTACCAGGAAACGCCAGAAATCACAAGGCTGGGCAGCCGGTGCCCTCTTGGTGTGAACAAATCCCAGTCTCACACCTATGATGGTCTTGCATGCCATGTGCAAACCACGGGCCCCAGCAAGTCACAGGCTTGAACAAAAGCCTCACATTCTGGGGTGTGAAACTTAGGACCAATTCTGCTGTATCAAAAACCTGCCTGCAGTATGCTGGGCAAATGAAATACAGCCCCATTCTTGCAGTCCTGGCCAGGATATCCCAGGAAGGCAGAATTATTAGGTCAGAAATAAAGCAAGAGCAAGAAAGCCAGTCTCTCGTGGAGAGGATGAAATAGCCATGGGAGGATCAGTTAGGTGGGTGAAGAAGAGGGTGGGTGAGGAGGAAGCAGTCACAGGGACCTGCAGGCACCAGGAAGCTTTTGTACCTGGATGGATGGGTGGAATGGGCGCTTCCCCCGAAGCAGAGCTGACCACTTGGCCAGTAGAGCTGGCTGGTCCTGAGAGACGCAGAAAGGAAAACAAGAAGAACAGAGAGAAAGCATGTGCCAGGTCATCCATTCACAGAGAAAAGCTGCAAGCTTCCTTCGAGCCTATTTGTTAAAGGAAAATCCGCTCCCCCTCACCCCCACCATGATTAGAGAGTTAAACACTTGGCAATGCCTTTGGGCAGTGTTGTACTAGTAATTACTCAGGACAATAACCTGCTCATTCCAGCCCACTGAAGCCTCCACAGCTTTTGCATCAGCCCTGCAAAGTTGGCAGCTGCAAAAACGATGGTTCACAACTAAAACAAACACTTTAAAGTTTTAAAAAGATTATATTTTAATTTTATTTCAAGTTCTTTGTATTAAAGATTTTGACTTTTTGTCTCCCAAATTACAGAAAAATGTTGACTATAACCACTTTTCAATCTATTCCTCACACAGCCCCGCATATTCGAAGGAAGTTTGTAGCTTCTCAACAAATCTGGACCCTTCACCATGTTAACTTAATTTTTTTTAACCAGAAGCAGAACATTCTGAAAAGTCACTGTAAATTTGACAGAAAAAAAGACTTGCAAAATTAAATAGAGAAAAGTTAATACATTGGCTTTCCCTTGAAGCAAGCCCCTGCTAGGTTACATTAGCAACAATATTAAAGATCCTATTTTGTGGAAGCAGAGCAGCCCAAGCCCCACTTCGTCATTAACCCATTCTTTGCTGCTCCCATAGCAACTAGACCATTTCCCGGGCCCTCCTAGTGTGACTTCCACAGATTTATAGCACTGAGTTCAGCTGAATAACAAATCTGATGCTTTTTGATACATTTTGAGGGTTTCTTTTAAGGGAGGTTGTTCAGGTCAGCCTGCCATAATACCACATTACTGCTCAGTAATGGTCCCCTTGTTTTTGTTTGCCCTGTTAGACCTCTTTAGCTAAGCAGGTTTGTTCAAGTATAAGAAGAGGATGGCAAACTGTGGCACTAAAGAACACATGAACCAGGATGTGGCATTATTTTATGTCACTGTGGTCATTCCTATTGGCAGGACCACATGCCCTGGGATACATTAAGTTCCAGAAAAGATACAAACCTGAATGTGTTTGTCCCCAGAGCAACATTTCAGACTAGATGATTATATCCTGCCTCTATCTCCATACCCTTCCAGCAGCTTCATACACACAGAGCTCTTCCCTTTTAATCCCAGAGAGCTGCAAAAGTTGCCTCATGCTTTTATATATTTGCTGTGCTTTGATGCATAACAAGCTACATTTTAGTATAAGGGTTGACAGAGCAAGACTATGCAAACTGGTTCAGATGAAAACGGTCATTTGCATCTGAAGTTGCCATTGCTGTGATTGTTTCTTATATCACAGAATAGTTAGGGTTGGAAAGGACCTTAAGATCCTTGCACTTGCATTAAGTAGTCACAAGAAATAACCAGCCTTCTCCTGTCACAGCTAGAACAGGACATTATCATTTTGGTATTTGATGGGCTAAAACAGGGAGGCATTTAACTTCTCCCACTAACCAGCATATTTCTTTCCAGTAAGAAAGAACTTTTCAATCCATGACTAAGGAAACCCATATTTCTCTGAAGGAGCTTTCTAATGTTCACAGCGGAAGAAGGATTTTTTTCTCTCTCTTTTTTTTAGTGGTTGACAGGTTTTCCACCTGTGAAAAATGTGACTCATAGCTCAGGAAGACATACATGAGTGGTTTTTCTTCTACTGCTACTGATGTGCAGGTTTTTCTTTCCATCTCCCAAAGAGCTTTGGCTCCTGTTTGCAGATTGACAGCTTTGGCAATAGACATTCTTTGTAAAAGCAGCATCTGTAAAAAGAGGCTCTGCCTGATTCACCCATCCCTCTCTGATCCTCCTCTAGTTGTAAGATGTCCACGAGTAAGTGCCTATAACCAAGTCAAGTCACTAGAACCTCACAGAGAACCATCAATGTGCACCAATAGTGGCATTTTGGACGAGGTAACTGTCTATACAAACACTTACCCAATGGAGAAATCACTTACTGATACCCACAAGCTGCCAAAGAACACATCAGAGCTCTTATTCATACCTTAATATTCTCATTGTGAATGCCAGAGTTGGAGATAGCCTGGAAACGTGTGGCCTTATAGCTGATTTCTGCGGTCAGTTGCTGGATAATTTTCTGCACCTCCTCCACTGCTTTGGAAACCAGATAATGTCGCCGTTCTACCTGCCAGTTCCAAGAAAGACACTTGGTATTATAGGTAACTGCAGTCCCTGTCTCCAGTTGGAAACAGAGACAAGCAACTTAATGCATCCTGAAACATTTGTGCCTGTGCTGCACTAGGAATAAAACTTATTGTTACTGGTGTGTTAACAACCAACTTGCCATGAGACAGAGTTGGTAAGCATTAGCTGATAAACATCAGCTGGTAAACACGCGAGCGCCAATGCATAGGACTGCGAGAGTTAATTGATATTTCCATGCCAATGCCACTGGATGGAAGAGAAAGAGTTCATTACATGAAAATTCATGTAATGACTCTTTGTATTCATTCCATAAAAATTCACTATCAACCAGCTACCGTCTCATTCTTTATCTACTTGATGCAGGTAAAGTATTCCCCTGCATATACTAGCCATTCTTATATCCAGGATATGTTCCATTCCAAGAGCTAACAAGACTTCAAGAATCAGAGATACTGAGTGCATTAGTCAGGTTGTGGGTGTATGTACGTGGCAGCATTTAGATCATAGAATAGATGCCTACATTATATGTTAAAAGTATTCACACTGTCTTCATATCTGAAATTCAAAGGAAAGTCTGCTCCTAGATAGTGAGCAAGTATCTTTCCAAAGCTGGTCTCACTGTTCACTAGGTGTTGAGATGAATCTAAACCTTCACATACACCTGAGAAATAAAAAGTGCATAAAGGCACGGTCAAAATCCAAATAAGGATATTCAACAGGAGGAACAGGAAGGAACCATGTTAGTAAAGGACATTTATATGTTTCCCAAAGATCCTTATACATTTGCCAAAGTGAAAAGGAGATTTCACTATTGATAAATTTCATTAGCATACTCATCATTACTTATCCATCCATAACTACCTCTGTGGAGTGAAATAGGAAGACTGTTTACTGTCTTTTTTTGCATCTTAATGCTCTATCTCATTCGGTTTCAATTTTTGCTTTAATTTCTTCTTGTTTGTTTTTTGTTTTGTTGGGTTTTTTCTCTTTCCTCACCATATTCTACTAAATCTCATTCTGTTCAGGCAAGAAAATGAATTTCAGAAACAAATGGGAGGTTTTAAAAACCTAGATCAGAAAATGAAACTCCACCTGAAGCTAGAATTAAAACCCCAATCGGGCTGTTTGCAGGTAGGGAACAAGAGTATTAGAGCATTAACAGCTTGGCTAAAGTGAATGATCAAGCATAACTGACGCAGTCAAACATAATTACTACAGTCTTTTGTTATTATCAAAAACCAAAGCAAAAGGAAGCAAAAACATATGGAAGAAATATCTTACAATGTGGTGGGCTGCTGGCACAGGGTGCCCGGAGAAGCTGTGGCTGCCCCATCCCTGGCAGTGTTCAAGGCCAGGTTGGACACAGGGGCTTGGAGCAACCTGCTCTAGTGGAAGGTGTCCAACCTCTTTACCATGGGCAGGGAACTGGATGAGCTTTAATGCCCCTTCTAACCCACTCTGTGATCCTATTCCATAACTCCTGTGTCCTGCTAGCTTAAATTCTTCAGCATCTAAACGACACAATTCCCTTTAGAAAATACCGTTGACAAGCACTTCATTAGAAGTCCTTTTGGACACCTTTCTGTCAAAAGTTGACCTGTCAGACAGAAAACTCAAGCATGCTGAACCGTTTCCCCAAGCCCTGGGAGGTGACAGGTTCACTTCTTCACAATAAAAACCATACAAAGGATTATTGCTTGCATAAGATCAATTAGCAAATGAATAACAATTGACTAACACTGAACTTGAAGATGAACAGAGTTTGAATACTTCCCCCTCCAGTTAACTAAGTTAATGTAACTGCTTAAAGCAGTCCAATAAGCTTGACTTGCTCAGCAAGACACATAATGGTTTCTCTAACGAGAAAACAGTATGAGTGATAGGGAAAGTTGTCCACCTCTAGCAGGTTTTAGGTACAAAAAGTAGACTTTTTCTGTTGAAAGTAAACAATCACTGTGGGTCAGCTCAAATGGAGATTTAAGAGTGCCTCTGTATGCATTGCTCATGTTATATTCTCTCTGAGGGGCTCTCTGCCATTTCTAGAGTCTTGGTCCCATTTAGTTTGCCATCATCACCTACAGGCTACAGCAGTTGCCATTAAATCTTTAAGAGATTATATACTCTCAAAAACCTATTAAGGAAGTGCCACTGAGCACCTCTTTCTGCATGTACTCCTCATCACTGGGGCAGGGATATAAGAACAAGGGGCATGTGACAGATGGTGCTAACTGTTGCTACCCATAATTAGCTCTCTAATCATGCTGTTGGAAGATAAAACCTTCCTACAGAAGGGAAGGCATAAAAGAAGACAGAATATGACTGAGTGAATGCAGCTTCCGAAGAGCCAAAGAATTTATCTGAAACGTCTTTAGCACCAGCACAGACATGTTGGTGGAAGACACAGAATAAGCTCTTTGTGGGACTGCCATTTCTATACCTACTGGCTCTTTCTACGATTCCCTTTACCAGGCCAAACCAAATGCACAAAACCAGAACAACAAGGTCATTTAAGGGTTTATTATGGAGGAAGGAAACAGGACTGGGATATACTGAGGACTGTTAAGAACATTTGGGTTTGTTCTTATTTACACAGTCACATCCACTCCATATGCACTTTCCATCAAGTTTTCCCTTTGTTGAGTGACTTAAGGAAGACATCTTTGATATCACAGATTCATTGCATCAATTTGACCTGTTTTCAAAACCAGGCAGCATTTGCCAAGCTGAATGGGGCTACCTGAAGGTTAGGCAGCCTCACTTGGACAGAAGACTCAGAAGCAGGCACAAACTCTGAATCCATCAGAGCTGGAGGGCTGCTAAAAAACAGACTCGCAGTAAAACCTAAAACATTGGCAACTCTGAGCCTCACTTAACTACACACTGCTTCTGTTCCCTGTACTTATGGCTGTCATATGAGCATCTTTCTGTGCATGGCTTCCCTCTGTTCCCTTCTTTGTGGCTCTGCTTCATAAACCTTCAGAGAAGTGTTCACTATAATAGCTCACTGAACAGATTCTGATGGAATGATTTGCTGGTGCACAACATGGCTGAAAATGAAAGTTCTCACAGAATTATACCTACTTGTCACCAAAACATTTCCACAGAGAAAATAAGCCTTTCTTACAAGCCCCTTCATGGAACCAGAATATTTCCTCCTGTGCAGAAAATAAAGCCTTACAGTTTTCCCTTTAGAAATTAGTTTTCACTTTGGCATCTTGCATTTTGTTGAGGAAGGCAGAATATAAAATACGATCTAGCTAAAGTACTGTGATGAAACACGCCTGTTATGGCTCACTTTGAGTTACTTGCATTAAACAGATTGTTCCATTGATGATTTTATTCCATTTGACTTTACTTCATAATGGAAAAAAAAACTGAGTGCTGGAATAGATCATAGAATAGAAAATGTGGTTCCAGCCTGCATGTGCTAATGAGACATGTTATTTTAATTATGGACTACAGAGAAGTATCCTTAGCTGAGGTGACAGACTGATGAGTGAATTCTAACACTGTCTGTCTCTCTCTAGTTCTTACATGCATCTTTCTTAGAGGCAACCCCTGGTGTAGTTTCAGTTTTCCTTCTGTCAAGCCAAGCCCACTGGACAGGAAGAGAGGCAAGGACCTTTTCTTAGATTAAATGCTGCTAATTACAACTAGTCTCACATCTGGGATTCCAGATCAGGAGCAGCTATTCAGGACAACTGAAGAAGAGGACAAGCACCTTGAAGAATCAGGCAACCGGCTGAAATCCCTGATAACATGCTGCAACAGAAACCTAGAAATCTCATTAGAAATGCAGCTCTCATGAAACTTCACCCAATCTTGCCTCAAAAATGAAGACAGCAGGCGAGCAACTAACTGTCAAGTTTGGCACCCTTCAGAATCAACACCTAGTGTGGGAGACAGAAAATCTGGACAGATAAAGCCTTACCTTGCTCTGGATGTAGATTTCTACATCTTCATCTGTGAATGGTTTCATGGCAAGATGGTCTTCACTGCTCTCAAAAGTGTGAAATCACTCTTCACTCATTCACCTGCCTCTGGAAGCAGAAGGGCACTCAGAGCAAGCTGCTCAGAGCCTTCTTGCCCTGCGAAGCTCAGGTCGCCTAACTCCTCTGTGGACGAAGAGGAGAGAGAAGGCAAGGAAGTATTTTTATTGCAGTTTGAGTTACAATGGTGACAGCCAGCTGCTTTGGAAAACTAGCTCTAATTATTATTTTCTATGTTCAATCATTATTCTTCTTATTACTTTCAAATGGTGGGTCTTGCATGCAGGCACACACAGAAATATCCCACCTACTGCTCTGTCTCAAGGCAGATCTGGAAGCGCCTTTCAGATTGCACTGCAGACTCAGTACACTCATGTACAGCAGCATTATTCTCTGTGCCACAAGTACTTCCTTGCCTCACTAGCCCTTCGCTAAACCATTTGTTAAGCACTCTCAGCTACCCCTCATTGACTTCAATCCATCCACAATTTCTGTCTGAAACTGCACGGGTATTTTTACACTCAGACCATTTATTTGGGTTGCAATCTGCAGCCTCTGTTCCCCTCTGCTCCCCTCTACTTATATCTCTTCTCTCTCTCTGCCTGTATTGACAGTAAATATCCCGCAGCCTGTCCTCTCCCGTAGTTTGCTTCGCTTTCTTTACAGTAAACAGCCGTGTCTCGTTTTCTGCCAGCAGCTCAGCTAACAAACCCATATGGATAATTCAGAGGGAAAAACAATTGATCAGGCTCCATTGATCCAGCGAGGGATGGTGGCTATTAGAAAAAAGGGTACATCAGCACATGGAAGGGAGCAACAGAGTATAGAGATGAGATCCCATGCAGCTAAGTGTCCCTTATTAAGGAAGACACACTCCACTTGTGAATAAAATCATTATTTCCTCCTGGAAACTGAACTTTGACATCCCTTGACTGATTTATTACCTCTACAGATGGTGGCAAAAGGCAGCACTTTGGTAGGCACTGGGTGCTACCTCAGAGCAGGTGCTGTTGTTGCTAGTTATCCTTCATGATGTTCCTTATGAACAGTCAAATATTGAGTATGTTAATGGAGTACCAATACCTGCAGGGTATCTGATTCCTCAGGATCTACAAACCAAACCTTTCTCTGTGTATCCCAGGCATCTGCCTTCATCTTTTTTCTAAGGGACTTGAGGACTCCTTCACGAAGATGTGTAGGCATTTACTTCCCAAACCAGCTCCCATAAGACCTGGGCACTGAAAAAAATGAGGCACTCGATATTTAGGGAATCATACCTTATGCTTGCTCAGCTCTTACTTACTGACTATTTTTCACTTGAGGGGCTAGCAGCATATGTGAGTCAGGAAGGAAGCCAGACAAAAGGCAGGTTCTGAAAGTGAGTGAAACAATATGTTAGGAAGAACTTGCCATCCCTGGCAGTTTTTCAAGGCCAGGTTGGAAGGGGTTTTGAGCAACCTGGTCTAGTGGAAGGGACCTTATAGCTTAGAACCATCTAGTTCCAACTCCCTGCCACAGGCAGGGACTGCTGAGACACTGTGCCAGAGCCTCAGCACCCTCACAGGGAAGAGCTTCTGCCTAAGAGCTCATCTCAGTCTCCCCTCTGTCAGGTCAAAGCCATTCCCCTTGGCCTGCACCTGAAGGCCCTTGTCCAAAGCCCCTCTCCAGATTTCTTGTAGCCCCTTTAGGCACTGAAGCTGCTCTAAGGTCTCCCTGGAACTTTCTCTTCTCCAGGATGAACCAGCCCAGCTCTCTCAGCCTGTCTTCAGAGCAGAGCTGCTCCAGCCTTCAGAGCATCTTTGTGGCCTCTCCCTGGACTTGCTCCAATAGGTCCAAGACCTTCTTATACCGGGGGCCCTTGCGCTTAACACAGCACTGCAGGTGAGGTCTGCACTGGGAATGGCTACCTGACACCTCAGAGCCCCCTTCTTTTCCCTTGATTTTTGAGGAAGCTTAAGCCCCCATTGCAGTCTGGGCATATTTCTGAGAGGGGGGATCACCCTCAGGTAGTTCTTGCTCAGGACACTGCAACCTTCCTTCCCTCTCTGGTGTTCCCCAGGAGGTTACCAGCATTACTTACATAGCTGGCTGACCACAGGCAGTCCCCCACATTCTTCCTGATGATCACCCATTGACTTATCCAGCTGTTCTTAAGCATTTTCAAGACACACTTCAATATCTTGGGTCTTCTTAAAGCCACAGTTCTCTGCCTGCTGATCTCCATAAGTTCATCTGAAATGATTCAGCTATGTTGCACACAACCCCTCCTTGATTTGCTTTATTTCCCACCTCACAGCACCTTGTAATGGAATTCAGTTTGTGGCTAATTTCCTTTGTACCCATGTCTTCATTTCCTGCCAATATTCTTCTAAGAGGATTTGGGGATTTCCTAATATCTACAAAAATATTGAATCTATATCATCTTCATTTGTGCCTTTGGCAATATCCACAACTGAGTCTGAGTATGGATCTGTGAAACCCACATAAAACTGTTCTGTGATAATATGTTCTATTCTGTGTTCTAATACCTTGAATGGTATTAGATTTGATCTTGTATCTTCTGAAGCTGGAGATTACTTATGCTTTACGTGCTTGCCTGCCTTTCCTTTCCTCACTCTTCAGTTTCATAGATCTGACAGATATATTATAAAACTACAATCAAAACCAATCTGAACTGCGAACTGTACAATAAAAACATCACCTCCATCATGTGAATAACAGCAGTTGTATTCACTGGATGAGAAATTCCAATATTTTGCCTTTTTCTGTTTGGCAACTGTTTAGAAGAACTGCTCATACGGAACAGTAAGCATGTATGAAAAACCTCCACTAAATCACACAAATGAGTCAGCCCAATGTACCACTTGCGACTCACAGATGATCTGCAGTGGCAAAAAAAATAGGTCCTGTTGAAGATGCTGCCTTCCAGATGAAATATAATCCCTAATTCACAGTTGCTAATGATAACCCATCACTTCTTGCTCTAATTACCAGAGGCATTAAGTCTGTTGCATTAACTGAAGCGTGTACTTGGGTCAAGAGAGATTACCAAAACAAATCATCCCAGTAGGCTTAATAACCTCTGACAGTTCTCTTGCCTTCTTAAACTGTTGCCCCATTTCTCCCCATTAGTGGATTAAGTGACTGTACAAAATGAGTAATTGTAGCTTGGATCCCCTATAACATTTACTCTGTGACAGTCTTTAGCAGTGATAATTCAGTGGTGTTGAGGGTCTCCATTCAGATGATAGTAGCACAACAGGCTTTTTCGGGGAACAAGTTCTGTGGATTTATTTGGGGTTTTGCTTTGTCTTTTAAACAAGTAGATATGGGCAAAGGGGATGCTTGGGATGGACTACAGGGAGAAAAAAGTGCTACTAATTCACTGTGACAGCATCAGAATCACATATGGATGCCAACTTGAAATGCTTCTCCACTCATTCCCACCCCTTCCCAATCAATACTTGGCAGGCTCAAAAATGCTCCACATGCCTATGCTGCTTGTTCTCACTGCCACACGTTCTCACATTAGCCTTGGGCCTGCACTTCATATCAAGTAAGTTAAAGGTTTCTATCATTTCCATACAAAGCACAGCACTGGATCAGGTCCAGTGGGGTTTATCAAGCCTGAGATCTTTTTTCCATTCGTGGCCAGTCAGGATATGTCAGGGAAAGGCAGAGAGTTTTTTCTTGGAATGAGTTCTCTTAACCCGGGAAGAGTTTGAAACCCCAAATCATTTACAACCTGAGTGGTTTCAGGCTGCAGTGTAGCATTCCCAAAGGATCACTACCTTAGGATACAGGAAGTTCTGACATTATGATGCTGCTAGTCACCACTGACCAGCCTCAACTTAGCAAATTCACAGAAGTCCAGCCAAATTGTGCAACTTTTAAGAAGCAAGCCACTGTGCAGCAAATATAAATCATGCAGCAGGGCTTCTAGTATTGACAAGATCACTGGCACCCAGCACGGTGAGCTTTTAGAGAGCCTGGAAAATCCCAAGTTCATTACGGTCAGCTCAGATAGTGGCAGGGGTGCAGGAAGCTAGGAGCCCTGGCTGCATCGGCTCTGAGGCTCCCAGGAAAGATGACTGAGACATTGGGCAGAAAAACTAGCATTTTGAGTTCTAAATGCATGTATTGTCCTCTGGAAGTTCACTGAAATAGTGCAAGTTCAGTGCATTCCACTAGACCACTTCCAAGCATCTGCAAAGGATATTTTTTCCTCTATCACTGTTTTATCCATCACTAAACTACAAGTACTGATCTATTGTTTAAGTCAGGATGTCCCACCATCTATATGCCTAGGTAAATGGCCTGAATGCCTAAAAGGAAGCACTCAATACCAAGAGGCTTGCACTGATTTAAACACATGGCTGAAAGAGCAGCATCTGGAGAAAACATGGTGTCTGGCAGAGCACAGTGCAACTGGAAAAACATTTAGCACTGGAAGTCTTGGCAGGTGAGAAAAAGCGGCCTCAGTTCTTGATCCTAGCATAGGTTTGCCTGGCTCTTGGTAGACTGATTATTTTTAGCTGTCAAGAAAAGGACTTTGAATCTAGAAGCACAATAAGTCTGGGACAAACAGACAGACAGACCACAGTCAAGATTTACTAGAGCCAAAGCAAGAAGCTCAGTGTGTGTGAGGGGCTGAATCAGGCTGGACTGCAGCATCTCCAGGAGCTGGTATTAATGTGGTTACCCTCCAGAGCACAGTGTTAGCTTGTATTATTTTTACACTTTGCTGCTATGTCCAAATTGACCCAATTGAGAACTTACTTGAGTTTATGGCAGTTTGAAGCAAATTGAATAAGTCACCACTACTAAGTGGGAATAGTCACTCAAACACAAACTTGGGGGACAGAAGACTCAGCCTGGCATCCCTGTCTGTGGGCCTCATTCAGTGACTAGTAAAATACATACATTAGTACATTACTAGTAAAATACGTGTTCATTGGAGCCAGAACTAGAAACTAGGTCTACGTGTCTCACAGGCCAGTGACAGTTACATACCCGTAAGATCTATTGCTTTCTCTTGATGAAAATAACTATTGCAGAACAAATGGGTCAGCTTCAGCAAACAGTTGAGAAGGGTCTCCAGACCCAAAGAGCCAGGTCCTTGGGAGCTACTTCTGAATGTTGGAAAAGAGATTGGTGTGGGAGGAAAGTGAGATTTTAAATAACAAAAAAACAGATTGAAAAGGGCTGGACAAGCACATTCTGCAAGAGTTTGAACCACATTAAAGCAGCTGTGGTGTTTTATGATCTTGGTTAGTGGTATGGCCAATCGACTGTAAAAGCTGCCTGATCAAACGTCTCAGCGTGGGTCATCTCACACATACCAGTAATAGATATAAAACCTACAACTAATAGGTGATGCCTAGGCTATGGCAACATAAGGTGTTATGTTCCAAGGCTGACATGGCATGGAGGAGAGGATGGAAAGGAGAAGCTGCAGAAGCAGTGAGGGTAAAGGAAGGTTTTGTCAGAAGTGTCTCAAGCAAAGCACAGGGGAAGAAAGGGCCAAACAACTGCATGCTTTGGGTGGGAAGAAAGGAGGGAAGAATCATTGACTCTATAGTGCAAGAGCCCCTGAGGGAAACAATTGCTATGAGAGAGCAAATACTATACAGATGAGAATGAAAGCACCAGCAGAATGATAAGAGAGACACTCTTTATTAGAAGCATGATATATGTACCACAAAGCAGATCAAGAGATTCAGCAAACTAGTGAGAACCAGCCTTGTGAGAGAGGATTTCAACAGAGGCTTCAGTAAAGTCTTTTGAGAGAATTTCTAGACAGATGAGATCATGACCTTCATTGCTACCCACTCCACCTTCAGTCACTGGAAAACGAGCTAACAGCCCTCAGTCTGTGTCTGAGAAATGTGTATGCTATTCTTTTAGTTAGTAACTTCTAAATACTTGTCATCATCAAGAGCAGGCAGCAGGAGAAATGAGGAATGTAATGGCATTCTTCAAGTGAACACTTCCCCCTCTATCTTGGACTATAAAACTATACAGCTTTCAGCTAATTCCTGTAATCAGCTCCCCAGCTCCCTATCCACTTTATTGGCTGTTTTGTGCAGTCAAATCCAAATTGCTGCAGGGAGAGGGCCAATCATTTGTGCTGCATCTGCTCCAGGCAGTGACA